GACCGCCCCTTTTATCCCAGACGGCCGTCGGGGTCCTCACCCAACCCGGGCCGGCCCAATTCCCCGTCCGCTTCGGGAGCATTCACGCCCAAAGACCGCCGCCCGACTGATGGGGCTGACTCACTACCAATCTGATTGCCCGGGTCACCTCCACGCCCCAGCACCGACCGCCTGCCCGGTCCTAGCAGTGGCCCCACCCTGTGGCTCTACTCCCTGCACTGACCCCCAAAACCAAACTGACCCTTCCTTACCTATTTTCACGGCTCACACCCCTTTGTCCTGCTCTAGCCGCCCCCAGCACAGATTGGTGGTGCATGGGCAGATGGGTTTTATTTTGCTTCTTTAGTTTAAAAAAACAAAACCAACCAGCAGTTTGATTTGGGTGACATCTTTATAAAAGTCATTAGTAATTAAGTAACAGCTGCCCTGCCCAAACCCCCAACGCAAGGAGCTCGCTTTTCTAGGTCACTCTGCTCCCCACCACTGCCACCTTGCCCCGAGGCATCTGAGTTTGAGACCCTTGTCCTTCCTGTCCTAACCTTCCTTCTGGCTGCTGTTCCCTCCTGTGTCCTTCCACAAGAACACAGGGCTGCCTTACCTCTCCCTCTGTGCCCTTAGATGGTCAAGATGGGCCAGTGCTACTACAACGAGACCATTGGCTTTTTCTACAACAACAGTGGCAAGGAGCTGAGCTCCCACTGGCGGCCCAAGGATGTGGTTGTGGTGACACTGGGGCTGACTGTCAGCGTGCTGGTGCTACTGACTAACCTGCTGATCATCGCAGCCATCGCCTCCAACCGCCGCTTCCACCAGCCCATTTACTACCTGCTTGGCAACCTGGCCGCAGCTGACCTCTTTGCTGGTGTAGCCTACCTCTTCCTCATGTTCCACACGGGCCCGCGCACAGCCCGGCTCTCACTGGAGGGCTGGTTCTTGCGACAGGGCCTGTTGGACACAAGCCTAACGGCATCCGTAGCCACGCTGCTGGCCATTGCCGTGGAACGGCACCGCAGCGTGATGGCCGTGCAGCTGCACAGCCGCCTGCCCCGAGGCCGGGTCATCATGCTTATCGTGGGCGTGTGGGTGGCGGCCCTGGGCCTGGGGCTGCTGCCTGCCCACTCCTGGCACTGCCTCTGCGCCCTGGACCGCTGCTCACGCATGGCCCCCCTACTCAGCCGCTCCTACCTGGCCGTCTGGGCCCTGTCCAGCCTGCTCGTCTTCCTGCTCATGGTGGCTGTCTACACGCGCATTTTCTTCTATGTAAGACGGCGGGTTCAGCGCATGGCAGAGCATGTCAGCTGCCACCCCCGCTACCGTGAAACCACGCTCAGCCTGGTCAAGACTGTTGTCATCATCCTGGGTGAGTGGCACCTGCTTCCCCCCAACTCCTGCAAGACCTGATAGAGCATGATGGGAGGGGTGATTTGGGTGGGGAATATTCTCCTAGGAAGTGATACCTGAGCAGAGACCTGAATGTTGGGCAAGGGAAGACTTCCAGGCAGAGGGACCAGAAGCTGAGAGCCCCAGACAGGACCAGCCCAGGACCAGCCCAGCACCTCCAAAGAGAAGGCCCACATGGCTGGTCTGCGAGGAGAGAAGTTCAGCATGGCATCGAAGGGCACAGATAGGAGTCAGATTTTGTTCTGAGTTCCGTGGGAAGCTCTTAAGAGTTCTTAGCCAGGAGTATTGAGTTCAGTCTGGCTGTGGAAAGTATAATGGTCTGAGTGAGAGAGGCACACACACCATCCCCAAGAAACAAAGAGCAACTCTTCCCAATCATTCTTTTCCCCCAACCGAGTAATTGGCCGGTCCCACAGTGGCCTCCTTTCCCCCAAAGAACAAATCTCCATGTAGAAATCTCCAGGGTCTGGTCCACCATGTACCCATTTAGGAAAGGTGTCCCTCTGGCAGACAAATCAGAGAAAGTTTCCCCTCTTAGCATTTCTGCCCCATCACACCACAAAGGCAGAAAGACAGGCAGTTCTCCCTGCAAACTGCACAGCTGTCAACCCAAGCTCTGAGACCCCTCCAGCTCTGAGCTGTGGCAACAGCTGGCCCTGCTCACATCAGGCTCCATCCCGCAGGGGCGTTTGTGGTCTGCTGGACGCCGGGCCAGGTGGTGCTCCTTCTGGATGGTCTGGGCTGCAAGTCTTGCAACGTCCTGGCTGTGGAGAAGTATTTCCTACTCTTGGCCGAGGCCAACTCACTGGTCAACGCTGTGGTATACTCATGCCGAGATGCTGAGATGCGCCGCACCTTCCGCCGCCTCCTCTGCTGTCTGTGCCTCCGCCGATCCACCCACGAGTCTGCTCACTACACATCCTCCACCCGGACAGGCACCAGCACTCGCATCATGCTTTCCGAGAATGGCCATCCCCTGATGGACTCCACCCTGTAACGAACCTTGGACATCAGAGAGTACAATGAATGCCAGATCGAAACCCCTGGCCACTTGTGGATGTGCCTGGCTCTACCCAACCCGCGGGCCAGACTTAAATGCAGACTTTCAGCCCAGAATGGCATGGAACCACTGCCAGCCCCTACCTGGGCACATAACTGTGCCTGCCCCAGGGCTTGGGAGTTTGAAGTCATCTAAGCACACAGGAGAGAGTTAGGTGGGGTGCAGGAATCTGCCTGTTCAATCATCTCAGGTTGTGGGGCTTTTTAACAGACGTTTTTCTATTTTTACTGCACATCCCTGGTAAACCCTGTGGACTGCTTCCTTGTCCCTGGTGGTGTGGGTGATAAAACTGGGAAAGATGAGGTCTCTCTCAGGCCCCACTGTCCAGTGCAACAGGGTAACAAGGACGGACTATGGATGCTCCATCTGCCTGAGGCTGATTGTTTAGGAGCACAGACTGAGGAGTGCTGAGTGTCAGCTGGGAAAGGTTTTTGGCCCCTTGCAGCCTCCAGGGCTCTTGTCTGTCCCCATTAGAACTGAGGGGGGTCTACAAGGAGGACATGATATAAGGAATAAACCTTTCTTTCCACTCTGAGGTCTCCAAAGCATTTTCTGTTGTCAACTTAATACAGTCTGTCTGTCTCTATTTCCCAGAATCGTCCACTTTGGCTCAAACTGAGCTGGGATCCTTCAGCATGGCTTCTCCTTGGCCCCAGTCTCATTCCCCTTTGGTCTCTACATGGCCCCTTTGGTCTGCTCCACCTCTCTCGTTGGAGTCTTGTGTCTGTTCCCTTTTGCCTCTGTCTCCTCCACCTGTTCCCCTGCCTTCATCTTGCCACCTTCCTCTGTCTTCATCCTTTGGAGCCCAGAGTGGTCTCTGGCCCGTGAGCCCTCTCTCTCCTGCCTGCCCCTTTGTCTGAGTCCAGGATGTTAACAGAGGTGTATTCATCCCATTATCCCCCACTCCATCACCTACATACACACCTGTGGGCTAGGGGTAGTGGTCTCCATGGAGCAGGATGCAGGATTTGAGAGTTGCTGTTTCTCAAGCTCCTCTGATGTGCCTGGCACACTGATGAGTACTTTAGGTGCATTATTTAAGCAACACCTGCATCTCGTGGCATAGGGATTATACTTATTTTTCCGTGAGGACAGTGGCTCAGAGGTTGAGCTCTGGCCTGTGGTTCCACAGCTTCAAAAGGAGACAGATGCATCAAGGGACTAAAGAGGCCCCTGGGGAAAGGACTTCAGATTCCCACAAAGTCCAGAGTTGGCCATAAGTACAGCCTGGCTTTCCCTACTTTACCCTGAGGCCTCAGATGTACCAGACCCATGACGAGCCCCCTCTCAGATACTCACAGAGGCACTCTGAAGCATAGTGTAAACCAGGGTCTGGATTCTCTGCTTCCATACCTAGTCAGAATTTGAACCCAGGCCTCCCATCAGAGGCTAAATTCATAAACTACTAAAGCATGTGTTGCTGAAGGACCAAAAACCTGTAGGTCTTTATACATTAAATGGGGCTGCATTTCCCTTTGGGAAAACTTCTGCCCTACAACAACTCTGTGAGGAGGCAAGAATGAACTGGGGTGCAAGGTGCATCTCCAGGGTCCAAGGTGGGCAGCATGGCTCCTAGGGCCTGGGGCCTGACTCCGGAAGTGATGACCCAGGCCAGCACCTTCCACATGTGGATGGGCACACACCCGAGAAAGAAACAGTCCTTGTCTCCATGGACCTAGCTCCAGGCCTGTTGGACAGAAGTATCACTTAGGGTACGGAGGCAGCCAACCAATTCCTATAGCGTAGCAAACCCCAGTGGTCTCCAAAATGTAGCTCTGTTTCACCTGCTCTGAGCTGGCTGTTCTTGCATCAGCATCATCCAGGTTTTAACCTACAATCCTCTGGTCTCCTTTGGGATCTTGTCCCATCAGTTTTTCCCTCTCTTGGAGGTCTCTCCTCTCAACCAGGTGACTTCAAGTTTTTGTCTCAGATGATCCCTGAAGCTTTCAATTGCCTCCCCACACCGCTGTTCTCTGAAAGACGCCAAAGTTACCGACTCTTTTCAGGCCTCCTGTGTAGTGCTACACTAGTGGCTTACCTTTTGTACAGGGTACCAGCACTCCATGATCCCCACCTGTTCTAGTACTTCCGGTTCCTGGGCCAAGTGTTGGGTTTCCTTCATCAGGGAGCTTTCCACATTGTTCTTACACTAGCTCACATCACTCATTTCCATTACCTTTGGAGTGTCCAAACCCAAAGGGAATGGAGATGTCTGCATTTCCTCTCCAGCAGCAATGGGAAGAAGATGGGCCCTATCCTGAAGGGTTCTCAGGATGCTGAGGTCCCTTTATGAACCTGCATCTGGAGTCTGTCCTCAGAACAAACAGGCTCTAGGAGGTCCCACGACTCTGGAGAAGTGATTTATGTCCAATCTGTTCCTTTTCTCTCTCACAAGAATCCTTCTCTGATGCCAGGAGTCCTAACAGCTAGAAACGAAGGCCTGTGAAGAGCCGCTCTGATTTGGGGTGAATCACAGGGTAGGTTCTCATTCACTTGGTAACCACGCGCTAGTGGAATGCAGCAAAGCAAAAAAACTTGATAAACAAGTGAGATCACTCTTAAACTAGACCTTGAAAGGGGAATAAAATTGATTTCTGCAGCTGGGAAAATCACTCAGTTCTATCCTCCTGGCCACCATCACCGCACATACCTGTATCCCCTCTGGAGTGCTGGCGGGGAAGGGGAAGTCAGGAGAAAGGGAGCCCTAGTGGCTGCTGTGGGACTGAGGATGAGGGGAACATTGGCTGACTGAGCAGGGGTCTGGGGCTTGGCTTCTGGAGATCAACGAGGGGGTGTTGATGGGCTCTGAGAGGCATGGGGGGCGCTGAGAAGGAAGGGATGGCTTGGGAGAAAAGTGGGGTGCTCGAAGAAGTCACACTCTGAGACGTGTGGGTCCCTGAGGAATTGGGGGTCTAAAGAGAAAAAGTAGAGGCTCTGAAGAAGAGTGGGGGCTCCGAAGAGACTTGAGGGTCTCTGAAGAGATGTGGAGGCTGTGAGGAGACGTGAAGGGCTCTGAGGAGGAGAAAGTGCCCCTGAGCGGGAGTGGTTGCTCTGAGGAGGTGCAGGAGGCAGAGATGTAGTGGGTAGGGGGTCGGGGGCCTCTGAAGCAGAGCAAAGCCAGCATCGCTCTCCAGCTGGCGGGGAGGAGGGGCGTGGAAAGCGCC